GGAGATGCGCTGTTTTGCAGCCATGGGCCATGTACCAAGCTTGCTTTTTATAGATATCAATTATCAAGGTTATCAGCGCCTGTGGAAGAGCAAAGCAGTGGCAGAGGGCCATACTCCATCTCAATTTGATCGAAGAAAGCCGGCTGGCGTTGGACGATGTATCTTTTGGCGCAGCTGTTGACGCATGCACTAATTGGCAGTTGATGTTGTTGTTGTTGGATGATTTGGCAAGTCGAGCACTTGAAGCGACCTTGATCACACTAAATGCTGCGATGAGCACGTTCGAGAAGGCAAAACAGTGGAGTCTCGCCTTGGACATGTTAAAAGGTCTTACAGAAGGGCGTCTGGCTGATGTGATCACATACAATTCCGCAATCAGTGCCTGTGAGAAGGCCTCTGAATATCAGCAAGCTATATGGCTCTTCGAGGACTTGACAAAATGTCTGGTGCCTACTGCTGTCACTTACAGCGCAGTGATCAGCTCTTGCGCAAATGTGTCAGAATGGCAGGCTGGGTTGATGTTTTTGGCTGAGGCAGTTTCCAAACGTCCAATGGCTAATGTGATCACTTTTAATGCAGCGATCAGTGCATGTGAAAAATCTGGTCAGCATGGGATGGCCTTGGCATTGTTGAGGCTGCTTCACTCTATTTATTTGCAGGCAGATGTGATCACCTACAGTGCCTCCATTGGAGCCTGTGATAGAGCTGGCAAGTGGCAATGTGTTTTCCAACTTCTTACTGAAGCTCAGCTTTTCAAGATCCAGTTAGGTTTGGTAGGATACACTTCGGCCATCAATGCTTGTGAGAAGGCGGCCAAGTGGCCGGAAGCGTTGCAACTCCTTCAGCCATGGACAGTCCTTTACAACACTACCATAAGCACTTGTGAAAAGGCCTGCCACTGGCAAGTGGCCCTAGCCCTTTTACAAGAGCTTTCCTTGAAGCAACTGCTTCCTGACGTGGTTTCACACAGTGCAACCGTGTCTGCTTTGCAGAAGGCCTTTTCAGGGTTGAAGTTGGCGTGGAGTGTTTTGCACACTTGTGGTGTCCGAGAATGATACAGCTACTAGTGTATGTATATATATATAACTATACATAAGTACTGGATACATATGTACATGTTTGTAAGACATATATATATATATATATAAGGATAGACTGCCTGGACTTCACCGTCACTGGTGGCAGCGGACACTGTGTTGGGACCTCTGTAGTTGGCACAAGAGAGTTCTTTAGCTCTATTTTCTTGAAGGAGACCTGGGGACACCAAAGAAATCAAGAATCATGTGCTTTTTTTCTTGGCTGATAGGCAGTGCAATGGATGCTAGCGTTACTCTTGCTGGACGACATGGATTCATTCGCCGTGCGAGCAGATGCCATCACCATTTGCGCAGTTGTCGAAAGTTGCCAGATGGCCAAAAAAATGGCATTTGGTACGGCGGCTTTTGAGTGAGTTAGAAAGTACCTATGAAGATCCCAGCCTGTGGATTCCTTTGCAACATATTCAGCATGTGGAGCCAAACCTTTGCGACTCCATTCCGCGCACCGTGCTTGCTCCTGGATGATTGAAGCACAATTGTGTTTGTAAATATGTACATAATATCTATACACATGCGTAGAAGTATATCTACATATGTACATATGTGTACTAAGAGGGATTCTTGTTGTCGCAGACTGCTTCACAGTGCCAAATCGTTAAACCGGCCTTTGGTGACATGGAAGCGCGCAAGGCACATGCATCTGATAGCTCCCGTCAGGCCACGCAACGACGCAACGTTTTTCAGACATACAGCTGTTGGCCAATAAGGTTTAACTTTGTTGCATTTGGGGTTCTGATGGTTGCTCGCAAGAAGTGAATGTTATGTCCATGCTAGTCCGGTACCGGACCTAGACTCACTGACGCATAGCAGGCCAGACAAGGTGATACTTCTGGGATGTCTTTACCTCAGACAGGTTGTCATAATGCTCGCATTTTGATGCGACTGGAGGAAAGAACACAAGAGTACAGGCCTATTGTATCATTTGCACACGATATTTCAACACTGCATTTGAGAACCTGGTTGGAGCGCGGTAAATGCTTCTAAAGCAGATTGCAACTATAGTCACTAGTCGCGGATGCTTTGTCTAATGAGAACTGACTTCTATCTCAAGGGCGCATCTGAAGGCTCAAACTTCACTTTGAGGCCTGCAACAGAGGGGACCCGTGCAGCAGCCATCTCCCAGGTGCCGCGACTGGTTGATCGTCATAGGATACGTCAAGCTTGTTTCTGCTCGTTCGTTTCATTGTGTTTTATCGGAGAAGTACGAAGCAATCTACTAGGAACAATGTTCGCTACTAGGGGCTCCTGGCATCGCTACTAGGAACAAGGACGCTACTAGGGGCTCCTGGCCGTACTACTAGGAGCAAGGACGCTCTTGGGTCTAGAGCGGCCCCCAGGCCCATAGACTTTCAGATTAGTAGTGCCTAAACGATCAACTGTGCCCAACTCTTGCTGTCTGCAACTCACACCGCTAGGTACGCCAGGAATCCACCGTGCCCATTGCCAAACTCCTAGCTGAGCAAGAGGCTGCACGGAGGCTTGACTTGCCTTGGGATAACGCATGTTATCAGCCATGTCAAGGATGGCTGGGATCATGGTTGACATGAGGTCGAATGCACTATCATTAGCTGCATTGAAGATCTCTGCACGTCCTGACACTTCTGGGCCACACTTTCAAGCCATTCCCTGTTTCACCCAACTCTTGCAGTTCTTTGTTTGCGTCACACTACATGCTCACTGTAGCCCTTCTAGGATCCGCCATGTTTTATTTGTGGAGACCAGTTGATTTCGGAAACGCTTGGGTTCTCGTGTTTAATGCCCATGTGTGGAAGTCGATGGGTTGTTATGTTTCATGTTCACGCATGAGAGTTCTGGGCTCTTGAGCGAACCAGCCGCGCGCCAGGCTCCCGACCCCTGGGGATGCTGATGATACGCCCCCCCTCACAGAGAGATGTGAGCTTTTTTGATGCTAGGAGCTCAGTATTGGCGCATCAGCGCATCTGCCCGGTGCAGCCTCACCTGCCACCTGCCTATCTTCTTCCGTTTTGAACCGGAGGTCGGAAACCGTGGCTTTTCTGATAAGCCACCTGCCACCAGTGCACCGGATTTGTCACTTGGTGTGGTCTGAGTTCAGCTGCGGAATTTACAATTTCATGAAATTCCCGGTGGCCAGCCGTTCTCTTGTCCTTTGCCTTTTTTGCTATGTTTTGCAGATTTGAATGTCAGGTATTTGCAGGTGGCCCAAAAAGATGCTAAGGTGGGCAGGAAGTGTTAGTGGAATGCTGCACACATTCGTGCATGCACAGGTTTCCATTTGATGTGGGGAGTGAAGCTTTTGTCTGGAGTGTTGCATAACTAGACTCAACTAGACACAGACTGGGTGGTTTGTGTATGCTCTAGGTAAGACATTTGGAGCTGCAACTGGAGGCGCGCACTTGCTCGGAAGGAGGTTCAGAGCGACAATTGATAAATTTATGGTTTCCCGAATTCCTTAAAACTTCTGGTTGCAGGCTATTGTTTTCCATCAGACCACTTCGCTACTAGTAACAAGGGCATCGCTAGTAGAAACAAGCGCATCGCTAGTAGTACATAACAAGTGCATCGCTACTAGTAACAAGGGGACCTCCGGGACCCATGAGAGTGGACAGGGCTCTTCTTGCTTTTCTTGGACCCTTTGCTGTTTCAGGACTGTGAGGAGCGTTGGAAGCGCCGAATGGAGGATGCGAAGCGTCAGGAGAATGAGAGTCTTGCAAGTTCGGGCCCCAGGTAAGGACTACAAACAGCTCGTCAAACACTCTGAAGCTTCTTTCCTGAATTAAACGCTTTAGACAGGAATTCGGAATATCCCATTGGAGAGTCCCCATTGCTGCCCCTATTGCAGTCCCTTACCTGAGCCGCACTTGTGAACCTTTTTCTCATAAGGAATGGAGCTCCAATGCCGATATCTGCAATCAGAGCTGGATCGGTGTAAGGCCTGATCATGTTTAGTTGGTCAACTGCAGTATTGGTTCAAGACCCTGGCCCAGTCTTGAATAGATCTTGAAGAGCTCCAAAATCTATATATTTGTCTCCGACATTTTATTGACCATTTACTCTTGAGCCTCACCTTGGTCTCCATCCCTTCCAAGTTAAGGAATCTTTGAGGGTTTCTCACTGGTCACGGAATTGTTCCGGAACAATGTGCTGTAGCGGTGACTCTGCGTGACAGCCTACGCCTTTGGACAGATATCCCCATGAATTTGGGCGCCAATCCAGGATGTGCGTTGTGTAGTGTGACTTTGAAGTTCCGTGGTTTGTTCAGTAATTAGGTGCAGGCAGGGATGAGGAGTCATGGAGGCTCGAGAGGCAGGTTTCTGTTGGACAGGAGATTCAAGCCAGTGATGAGCGCCGCTTCATTGAGCAAAAGCGACAGCTGGCACAAGGCGAGGTTTGACCTGGACAATTTAGAGGACACCAACCTTGAACACTGAGATAGGATGAGATTCGACGAGGCCACCAGACCGAGAAGGAGGATGCGATCCGAGAAGAACGTCGCAAGGCATGACTTGAAACGCAAACCGGTCCAAACTGTAGAGCAAACAAGGGGTGAGAAGCACTGGTGGTGGCACTGCCGACTGCTCTTAAGCGCACCAACATGCATATCCTAGCTTCGCTTTGCTTCTTCTGCTTGAAGCACACTGTATCAGGTTCAGACAGAGCTGGACAAGGCTGGAGCTCGATTGCGCAGCCGCATGCTGATCTCCTGTTCTTCCAGGTTCCAGATTGTGGGTCAATGGTTGCCTGTGGCCACGTTGTTAGAGGTTACGTATAAGAACAGCTGGTCGTTTCTAGCTTCAACGCAAGTTTCTAGGGCTCAGCTCCTTTTCTCTCCTTTAAAAAGAGCGCCACTCCAGCACTGCATTGCAGATGAAGAGCGACCATCGCCTGGAGATAGAGGTTCTGAGAGCTGTGCAATCATGTTGTGTTTTTTATTTTTAAACATAAAGTGGGTGGCTCAAAGGGGTTTGAAAGATGATAATTGAGAAATCAATTGTCGGGAAGATTCTAAGCGGCAGAATTGCCTTTACCTAAGTTGCTCCGAGCTTTGCTCAGTAGAACTTTTGGGTCGTAGCGTTTTTGTTCGAACTTGATTTGTTGCGGATCCTTCTGATATGTGGTTGTCCTTGGGACGTGCAAGGCTTTGAAGTTTGATTCCTGATTGAAAGCAAGAGGTTCAAGAATGTACTGTAGTCATACGATCCGCTGATTGTGGGTCTTTTTATGGAAATCTCTGCTTCTCTTAGATTTATAGATTCAGGGACTGGGAGATTTCAGGATTCATACGGCCTGAAGATCGGAGCTCTGAGATCCTCACATCCACGAACTCGGGAGAGGTTTCAACGTTTGGATTTTGTTTCGGGCATTGGTATTTGTGCGAGCCTACGAAAAAAAGCGGAAACCGCATCCCTGGGTGCGGCGATTTGGAATTGCTCAACTCACTCGACACGACCTCTCGGAACTGTTGAAAAGCCAAAGTGCTTCGAAAGCAGTTTGGTCAGCTTTGCGAGCAGGCGCCTCACCTTTTGTGTTGGATAGCCAAGAGCTCACTTCCAAGCAAGCAGCCTTGAAGGCATTCGATGTCGATGACATCTTCGCGATGACGCTGAAGCCTGAGGCCGTTGAACATATGATAGAAGAAGCGCCTGGCGAAGGTGTTGCTTCAACACACAAGTTTCTCTTGAGACTTCATGATGGATTTTCAGTTGAGTCAGTGTTGATACCAAACGACAGGAGGCTGACAAGGCGGGCAACAACGATTTGCATCAGCTCACAAGTGGGTTGTGCTCAGGGATGCTGCTTTTGCCGCACAGGGACCATGGGGCTCTTGCGAAATCTCAGCACTGAGGAAATTATCGCGCAAGTTGTTCAAGGTCGGCGTCTGGCAAAAGAGCTGTCTCTGCCAAGGGTTCTGAAGGTGGTTTTCATGGGAATGGGAGAACCTTTGGCCAATCTCAGCAATGTTAAGCAGGCTGTGGAGGCCCTCAGTGATATGCGTCGTATGGGTTTTGCAAGAAAGCGCCTGCAGATCTCGACAGTGGCACCATCACCTCATCAAGTTCTTGCTTTGAAGGGCATGCGCTGTCAGCTTGTGTGGTCTTTACATTCACCATGCGACACTCTGCGAGCCCAACTTGTGCCTACATCGCTTTTCTCAACCATGGAATTGAGAGAAGCTTTTTTGACGGTGTTTAGATCCAGCAGTGGGAATCCGGACAGGCGTTTCATGGTTGCTGTGGTGATGATTGCTGGTGTCAACGACCAGCCAGAGAATGCAAGAGAGCTTGCAGAATTTCTGATACCTTTCTACGAAGATCCTGAGGTCGGCTTGTCCGTGAACCTGATTCCATACAATGAAAACCCTGAATTGTCCGAACATCAGTTTGCTGCATCGGATGTGAAGACAGTCCAGAAGTTTCGGAAATTAGTGAACGAGTCTTTGCCTGGTATGGCAATTCACATCCGCGAAACTCGCGGAGCCAATGCCTCCTCTGCCTGTGGCCAACTGGCAACAGTGTGTCAAAAGCCAAGGCATCGCTGGCTTCTTGGCTTCTTGCTCGTGCTTAGGTTCTCAAGTTCAGATTAACGTAAGAATCCACAAGACCTTGAAGACATGTTTGATTCATTTCCCCCACTTGACTTATATATGCTTATATTGTCATTCAGTTGAAGAAATAGCCAGTCCTTGGAGGTGATCCCTAGAGTGTTGTTTTCACGGGAGGGAGAGATTTAGTGTTGCTCACCTGATACTGAGGGGTCTTGGCAAGACGTGTCTACAGTATCAAGACCCCTTCTTTTCTGCTTGAGCTGTGGCCAATGTGGCCAAGAACATGTGGTTCTGTCAAGTTTCTTCCCTGAGGAGCTGAAGCGCCAGCATGAGCGTGCCGTGACCATCATCAAGCAGCAGGCAGATGTAGAGGCGGTCTGAGATGAACGCCTTGGACCCGAAGAGAGACCATCAGCATTGTTGGAACAGTCCTTTTCCTTTTTGAACTGCTGCAAGGGACTAACAATCCATAATGTATATGCATATACTCTCTGGTTGTTCGGACACTGGACAATTAGCAATAATATGCATCTGGAGATGTTGCTGAATCCTCCTTACGAGGCGGACAACCTGCGCCGTGCCCAGACTGGAGAGCAACACCTCACCAAGTTGGTAGAGCAGGTGCGAAGCACTGGGATAAATCAAAGCTCAACGACTCCAGACTTCATTGATTGTAGTTTAGTCATTAAGTTTTGAAAGAGCCAGAACATGCAAATCGTCAACGCACATTGGGATGCGTCATGGGGTCTACCCCAATGCAGTAGCAAGTCAAACGCCGTGAATTAAGGATGACACATCTTTAAAGAGGGCCTTAAAGAGGCGGTTACCTTATGTTTTCATCTCGCTTTGACTTTAGCAGGTTCAGGTTTCAGAGTGGAGCAATAGACTAGAAGCAATCAGAAGTCTTCTGGTTTGTAGTCTTGGACCAACCTTCGTGATGTCGGGCTATTGAAGTTGAAAACGAAACAGAACCTTTGAAGTGTATCGGCACACAGCGCCGACTTCCCCGTGCAGGTACGAGGTTCCGTTGCTGAAGTGGAACGCTTGAGCTCGAGTCCTCAGAGGTTTATGTTGCAGAAAGGCGTAGATGTGTTCAGTGTACTGCATACTCTTTGGAAAGCTGGCACTTGAAAGATACATCAGGGTCAATAGTTGGAATATGTTGGAATTCCAGGTTTCTACTTTGCTGAGTAGTGGACATTTTTTATGGTATCAGCCAGACTGGCCGTCAGAATGCGGAATTTAATCATAAAACTTCTGGAGTCTCATTCTGTCACACTTCTACCGGAATTTCAATTTTTGTACGTCACACACTGTCAGTAATCGGGGCCAGGGTCAAAATGGGTTTGTTTACTTGGCCAAGGCAAGCGTGTTGATTCCGACAAGAGCTTGGAGTGGCCACTCGTGCCCTTTTAGCTGGGAAGCTTCACTGCTAGAGTCCGCTCTTAGGTTGGAGGCCATTGCTAGTAGTAACAAGGGCATCGCTACTAGTAACAAGTGGCATTACTACTAGTATATAGCTAGAAGCTACTAGTAACAAGGCCATCGCTCTTAGGTTGGAGGCCATCGCTCTTCCCTTGTGATACCTGATGGCCAGGTCTGTGAGGGAACGCCAAGTCGAAGCTCGTGAGCGGAATGCCAAGGAGTTGGAGGCTGCAAACTTGAGAAAACAGGGTGCGGTAGGAGCTGAAGCACGTCACTAGAACTTCAGATTTACTCTGTACATTTGTTGTTGCTTGCAGTGGTTTTGGATGGTTTTGGTGTTGGGCAGCGGTTCTATCGAACTTTATATTGTCGACAGTTTGCTCTCAGGCACAGTTGTCCCGGCAGAGCAAGGAGGTGGAAGAGCAGCGTCGCCGCCTGCTGGGGCTCTTAGGTCAGTTGAGGAGCCTGCACTTATGCTAAGATGTTTCTGCTTCTTCCACAGAAAAGCAAAATATGGGAGCCACTCCAATCTCCAGCCCAATTCCACCGACTTCTGCTTGAGGTCAGACCTGGTGACAAACTTGCAAAATTGCCAGGCAAATGGCCGGAGGGAATGTTGTGGACAGGGCTTAAATGAATTACTCCTTGAAAGAGGTTCATGATCGAAACTTTGAAACGCTTCTTTTGAGGCTGTCTACATTTCGTGAGACTCTTTTGGCCAGGATGAAGACAGCACGGTGTTGGCTTCGGAGCGGGAGCGCCTGCAGGCATGCAGAATACTTGGATCTGGGCCAAGGTAGAGCGCATTTTGGGCAAGTGAACAATGCTGGACCGATGTGATAGAAGCTCGACATCATGCACAAAGGATAATATGTTTTCAGGGTGCACATGAAGTCACAGAAAGTTGTGATGACCTGCTTGAAACGAGTTTTCGCCCTTGTAAAGCAGTGCAGCCCCAAAAACACTTTGTAGGCAGAACATCAGCGATTGCTGGAGCTTCAGCAGAGCATCCGCGAGGCATGCACGGCTGTTTTTCCCTTGACCTGGTCACAGCGTGACAAGGAGACATTTCCCGCGTGACAGACCGCCCGCACGGCTAGGCTGACCGGAACCAGAAGGAATTCTTGAAGCATGCTTGGGCTCAGGCCATGGTACAAACCTTGGGCACATATTTCGGATCATTGGATTCATTTTTCAACAAGCAGGTGGAAGAAGAGCGACGGATCCTGCAGCAGGAGCAGCTGCGCTTCGACGGGGAGCATGGTCTCCCAGAGAACAGAGGGCCGCGGAAGTTTGGGAAAAGATAGAACCAAGCAAACTTGATCGATTGCGCGCTGCAACCATTCTTTTCGATTTCTTGAGTCCAGCAACGAAATGGGTTTACATCAAAGGTGGAAGGCCAATAATTCTGATTGTTGGTAGGTTTTGACTAAGCAGATGCTCGAGCGGCCGACCAGCGATCCCTCTTTCGTGTCATTTCTTGCCTTCGGGATCAGGCAAGCTACACGGAAGGAGGAGTTGGAGATGCAGGACGATGTTCGAAGGGCTCCCAGCGGTAGGTTTTGGACTGGGCTCCCTCCTCACATGCAAAGGAAAGATTTCATCCCATACTTCAGGCAGAAAAAAAGTTTACGCTTGTTAGCCTTCTTACAAAACACTCTGAGGTCAGCGGCGGATCGAATTAACAAGTCTAATTTTCGTGGCAGGTGTGGGACGGTCAATTATCACACTGTTTTAAATTTATAATAATAAAAGGCTTTCCGGGGTGACAAATGACCGCCCACACCTTCCCTTGTCTCATGGTGTAGGATTCTAGGGGGATAGGGTTGTCATGAGTTTCAACATCACGAAGCGCAACTTTCTTCTGGCCAGTGTATATTGGTAGGATTGATTGGAAAATGCCATTGCAGAAGAGAGAGCAAAGCAGTTGTACACCAGCACTGATCAGTCCTCAACTTGAACACCATTTTTTAGCTCGTTTGACAGCTTGAGCAGAACAGTTGCACAGGGCTGCATCCAAACACACACGCACACACACACACACTTTTTGAATTGCGTACTGACTCGAATGCCGCTCGCCACACG